CCCCAAAACCCCAAAACCCCAAAACCCCAAAACCCCAAAAGGACTTTATCCTTATAATTATTTTGGAATAATGGAGAAAATAAGGGATAATAGAGAAAGTTAGGTTTTTAGAGTAAGGGTTTAGGCGAAAAACAAGTGCAGGATGAAAGAGATGAGTAGGATTTTGGTTTGAGAGGGTTTGAGTGGGGTAATGACATTTTTATAGTGAGATGGAATGGGCAATGGGAGGAGGTAAGAATGAAGTGAAGGAGGACAGATAGGGGGGTTTAGACATTTTTGAGAGTTTAGAGAGGGGAGTTTGAGTAGAGGTGATGTTTTTGTATAGAGTTGTTTGGAATTGATGATGAGGAAAGTAAGTTTTTAGTATCTTTAGATTATGGCTCGGACCATAAAATTGCATCTAAATTCTTTTGATTATAGATTCTGATAAAGAAGACTTATATAAAGGTAAATATTCAACATCTTAACTCACTGAAAATTCCAGAAATTTCAATTAAAACTTGCATTTTAGAAGTATCCCCAAAGCTTAAAGAAGTATCAAAGCCGACAGAGTCTAAGGTAATAATTAAAACTGAGGCTAACGAAGAGTCAAAATCAGCTAAAACATCAGAGGAGCCGCAGATATTCGAAAAGTACTCTCCTGCTTTAAATTTAGTTCTACTTCGACAAATGCTAAATTCCAAGATCTTGCCAAAAACTCTCAAGAAAATTACCAAAGAGTCTCAAATAGACTGAAGGAAGAACCAGCTGGTGAGGTTTTATTAGATGAAGCTACCAAAGTGGCTACTAAGTCTGCAGAATATGGAACTAAAGTATATAACTCCACTAAAGAGAAGATGGCTGAATTTGCCAACAACGGTGGCATGGAAGAAGCCAAAAACCAAGCTTACAACAAAGCTGTCAATATTGGCAATTCATTCTGGAACTTTGTCTGCCAAGCCACCATAAATGAGCAAGAAAAATTAGAGAGGGATCGAGATCAGCCCTTAGAAGTTCAGCCAAAACCTGAAACTCCTCCTACACAGGAGGAAAAACCATTGTGGGGTTTCACTTGGGGGAAATAATGTTTATCAATAAACCTCACAATCTTTGGGGTTTTGGGGTTTTGGGGTTTTGGGGTTTTGGGG